TGGCAGGAGATAAGGAATCCAGCCAGTCAGACTTATTTCTGTGGATCCCCGCACCCAGCCCCAGTGGCTTCGCTCTCCTTGCTTACTACTTCTAGATATGAGTCTGGGCTGACTCAGCCATCTCCCCAGATCCTAGAGCAGAAGCTTCTGCTGAGTCCACCCCAGCAGACATCATATTCATGACCTTTTCCTCCTGATGTTTTTCAGCTTCCTGACCTCTGGTCTGGAAAGACCCAAGCAGAGTGGTACTCACCTTCGTGGGGTACACAGTACACAGGGCCTTCATCAGTGGTGTCAAAAGATGAGAAGGAGGCCCTGGAAGACCATGAAGGGGAGGGCTGCTCCAGCGCTGAAGGTGGCTCCAGAAAGCTGCAGTTGAGGGTGTTTTCCAGGTCGTGGTGGGCCACTGTGGAAGGAGTGAGGCACAGCTGCCTTACTTCTTCCATAGTCTGCATCCACTTAGGTATGGCCTCCATGGATGCAGGACTCACAACGGGACACCCGAGCATGATGGATGTGGGGTCCCGAGATTCTACATTACTGGGTGGGCCAAAGGTTTTTCTCTGCTGTCTCAGTCATTACCTCCAGGGAGTCTCTGCCCCCCAGCTTCTAAAATCTGGAAAGGAGGAGCGCAAGTCTACCATGTGTGTCAGTGCAGACATTGACTGCGCGGCACTGCCCCCTTCACCCAGCAACATAGGGGAAAAGGGGCCGGTCCACCAGCCTTCCAGGAAGGGCCGAAGGTACTGTGTCAGATCCTAGTAGGAGGGTGCTTACAAGCACGTGCACACATACCCCTGCTGCTATGCACAAGAAATGATCTGCGGACCTGTGCAGTCTTCAGGTGGGGGAGGAAGGCGAGCCTATATTTTCCCTCTTTCCTTCCCTCTGGACTCACCTTCCCTTGCCCACCCATTTCCCAGCATCCTGCGTCAAGAGACGTTTTCCCCAAAATACTTGCGCTGACGTCCTTACCTACGACCTTGGGCAGTTTCTGCCTCCGAAGCGGGATCCGGGGCAGCTTCATGCTGATACGGCTGAAGCGCCCACACAGCCTTTGTGGAGCCTTCTTCCTCGCCAGCGAGAGCTCCCTGCAGAGGCGGGGCCTGGTTAGGGGAGGGGCAGAATCCTCAGAGGGCCTTACGATCTCCACAGGAGCAGACCAGAGAGGGCGGGGCCTCACCGGCGCGCTGGGTCCTTGCCACGGCACGCGCAACAGCAGCCAAGTAGCGAGAGCAGCAGGCCTAGGAGCAGGGCTAGCAGTGCGCCCGCTCCCATTACGCCTTTGCGCTGATTGGTCTCTGTAGGGGTGGTGTTGGAGGATACAGTGTTAGCAGGGGTGCTGGGTCTCACCTCCACAGCTACCCTTCGGTTCGACCCTCACCTAGGCGGCAGGCACCAGTAACTGGGTCGCAGGAGTCTTCGTGGCAGCTGCAGGCCTGAGCGCAGTCCACACCGTGGAGCCCAGGCGGACACGTCAAGTTGCAACTGTGGTGATGCGAAGTCAGGGCAGACTTCAACGGTCCTCCTAGGGTGCTACCCCTAACCCTACCGCCCTCCCTCGCGTTCTTTCCCTAGGTCTGTTGGCTCCCCAAACTGAGCTCTATTCTATTGATACTAAAACCTCACCCTACTTCCCGGCACACAAAGAGGGTGGTCAGTTGTGAGAAGGAATGGTTATATGCACATCCATCAGGCAAGGTCTTTCAGGGACTGGGGCCGTGGTCACCCCCACCAATGTCCATTGCTAGTGTTGGCTCCTTTGGGAATGGGAAGACGTACTGCCGGACCAGACCCCCCACTGTAAGTGGAATTCCCTGGTCTCCACGCCAGCCACAGGTTCTAACCAGGGCAAGAGGAGTCATTCTAAGTCCCATCCCTCCGCTTGCAGCACTGCAGCCCCTGAAGTCTGGCTGAAGCTTCCCAGGTTAGACACGCGCCCTACCTAGCCCCTTCTGGGTTCTTAAAACACTCACTGGGGGCCGTGGACACCAGGGCTACAGAGGCAGCGCCCGGACTGGAAATCGCAGCGGCCATTGCCACAGTCGGCGCACACGAAGGCGCAGTCCTCGCCATAGGTGCCATTGCTGCACTTGGTCTCACACCTCGGAAGGTGGGAACGGTCCCGTCAGTGTGGACTAGGACAAACAGATCCCAAGTCCCCAGCGCCGCCCCCCACTGAGGACCTTCAGTGAGAGAAAGGCTGGGAACAGCGTTTCAGTAGCGGGCGACTCACCGGTCACCGATCCAGCCCGCATTGCAGCGCGTGCACTTGCCGGTGACGTGGTTGCAGGCATGTCCGTCGCGGCAAGGTGGGCAGCGATGACCACAGCCCTCGCCATAGAAACCGGTGGCGCATAGTTGGTCACACTTGGTGCCATTCCAACCAGGCTCGCACGTCAAGCAGCGGCCCTCGGCCACCGTGCATGGCTGTTGGCCTTTGCATTGGCCGCACCTGGGAAGCAGAGCGGTAATTGGAAGGCAGTGGGCTCGGCAGGTGCTTCCCCGCGGGTCATCCCTCCACTCCACAGCCCCGGGCATTTCTTGTACTTACCGGCGGCGGCAGCCCAAGCCATAGAAGCCTGCTGGGCACGGCTCGCGGCAGTACTTGCCGCGATATCCCGGCTCACAGGCGCATGTGCCGTCCACCGGGTGGCAGCGGCCTCGAAAGCACTGACAGATGCGCTCGCAGCGCGCGCCGAACGTGCGTTCCCGGCACTGGCAGCGGCCACTTTGCTGCTCACAGGGCGATGCATTGCAGGAGCACTGGTTGTTGCAGCTACGACCCCACCAGCCAGTGTGGCAGAGACACGCGCCTGTCTGCGGGTCGCAGCGCGACGTGGCGCTGCAATAGCAGGCACTGGCGCACTGCGGCCCCCACCAGCCGGGCTCACAACGGCAAGCGCCGCTCCGCGGGTGACATGCACCATGCTGACACTGGCACGCGTGCTCGCAGCGCGCGCCCCAGCGGCGCGAATGACACGTGCATTGGCCCGTCACATCCTCGCACTGCCCGTGCGGGTGGCAGCTGCAGAGCTCCTTGCAGTCGGGGCCCCAGAACTGGCGTGGGCACTCTGCAGAGGCGAGCGGAGGGGACCAAAGGCCTAGACACTCACCAGAAACACCCCTGCCAAGCCGCAACCTGTCCCTCCCACCACATGGGTCCTACCAGCTTAATGAGGTCCCCAAATCAGACTCCGCTTCCCAACCTCGCCTCATCCCGCCCGGATACCGCCCACTGCCCAGCATCCACCCCGTGCTCACTGGTATCGCAATTAGCCCCGAAGTAACCGTGGCGGCAGCGGCACTCGCCGGGTCGGACGCACACCTCGTTTTCTGAGCAGGTCGAGTTGCCCTCGCATAGCGCTAGGAACGAGGGGCCTGAGCTGCCACAAGTCTGGCCCCTACATTCCATTCTCCTTTTCCCCCTCCCCGCACCTCTGCTCAGACCCCCACGGTCCACCCCCAGGGAGACTCACCTATCCCGCACTCGTCCCCCTGCTGACTCCAGCCAGCACAGCACGCCGGCATCAGGGAGCTGTGGACACAGGAAGAGGACCTGAGCCTTGACCTCTGATGTCATGGCTCTGTCGCAAAATGGTGACCCAGGCTCGTCTATGTGCAAGATACTGTTGTAGGTATAGGAGACTCTGTAAAGAAAAACAAAGACAAGTCCCCCCCCCCACACACACACCCACATGCCATCCGAAGGGGTTCACCAGAAACAGCCCTGACTTCCATGAGCCTCCTTCACCTAGCCACTGTTGTTAAGTACCATCGAATCGTTCTGACTTTTAGAGACCCTGCATAGGGTTTCTGATCCTTTAAATCTTCAAGGGAGCAGAAAGCCGCATCTTTCTTCCATGGACGCTGATGAGCTCTAACCTTGTTGTTGTTATTAGTGCTCTAGAGTAGGTAAGGAGTTCTGGTAGCATAGTGGTTATGAATCAGGCTGCGAACTGCAAGGTCAGCAGTTCGAAACTACCAGCTGTTCCTCAGAAGAAAGATGTGGTATTCTGCTCCTGTAAACATTACAGCCTCAGAAACCCTGCAGGGTCGCTATGAGTTGGAACCGACTCCAGGGCACATAACCCCCACCAGAGTAGGTAAGTGCCCTCAAGTTGGTTCCAACTCATAGTGACCCTGTATAAGGTTTCTGAGGTGTGGCTGATGAGCTTGAATCACCGACCTTTCGGTTCAAAACAACCTTGCAGATCAATGCACTAATCTACAGTGTCATAGCAGGACTTCTAGTCCTGTCCAGTCCTCATACTAGTACTAGTCCACTCACTGCACTTGGGCAAACCCAAACTACCCCAGGATTCCAACTCAGAGACCCTATAGGACAAAATACGGATGCTCCATAGGGTTACCTAGGCTGTAAATCTATATAGAAGCAGATAGCTTCATATTTCTCCCACAGAGCAGTTGGTGAGTTTGGACCACTAATCTTTCAGTCAGGAGCCCAAAGCCTAAGTCAGGCTTCAAGGGTCCCTCCAGGGGGCAGGCAGCATGGAGGTGGGGGCAGGCAGCATAAAGGCTGGTCAGTGGGTCAGGTAGGGTCCAGGAGAGGTTCCTGGACCTCTCTCAGGAGTGGGGTCTAGGGCATCCTTGAAGGTGAAGGCCTGGCCAGATGGGTGTTAGGGCCTGGAATGTGCCAAGGCTGGCTGGGATAGAGGGGCACATTGATGCCCAGTTGGGGCTTAGACTGAAGTGGGCAGGCAGGGAGCTCTAAGGTAGGAGTAGGCCACCATGTGAAGTACCAACTTCATACCAAGTGGGGCTCAGGAGGGAGGAATGGGGTCTGCTGCTAGGAGAATGCTGGGGCACATACACATAGGGCAGGAGGCAAGACTTAGGGTGCAAGAAAGCAATATTGGAGCATCTGTTAATTCTGGGGGTCCTGAATTGGCCTGCTAACTGCAAGGTCGGCGGTTCAAACCTGATACAGGGTTACTATGAGTCAGAACTGATTTGACTGCTAGCGAAACAGCTGTTTGAACCTATCAGCTACTCAGAGGAAGAAAGATACGAGCAGTCTTGGAATCCCTAGGAAGCTGCTCTACTCTGTACTATAAGGTCAAAATGAGTAAGAATCGACTCCATGGCAGTGGGTTTCCTGATTTATACTTGTGTTTCTCTCTTTAATTTTATTTGGTGTCATGAAATATACCATGTTGCCTCTGTAAAAGGTAAATCATTTATAACTATCACACTATGTGTAAGGGCATGTTCCAAATCTATAGATGGCTGGGATACCTGGGCACAAAGGTTTCCTCAGGTGAGGCTGTAGCTCAACAAGGACTGAACAAGGACTGCAGGGGCTGGGCTGGGCTGGACCCACACTGAGGGCAGAGAAGGCTCAGAAGGAACAGACACTGAAGGTGCAGGATCCTAGGCTTCCCACAGACCCAAAAGGACTTGACTCAGATCTTAAAGGCACACCAGCCAATTATACTTTAGAGTACAAGAACTTGCTTCTTTTGAAGGATCTATATCTGGAACCAAGATGAAGTGGTAGTGAGAAGGCTGGGAGGGGACCTGAAGAGTCTGTTGAAGTGGGGGTCTCCTACTTAAACTGCAGGGGATACTCACCAACTGTTCCCCAGCTCAAGATAATAGCCACAACCTGAATGGGACACTGGACCCTCAAAAAAGACTCCAAACAATAAGACTGTTTTCCACAGGCCAGCAGTGGGATTTAGGGAATAGGGAAAGAATGAAAAAGGGTCCAGTGTATTTTTTCACAAATAAAACAGTAAACCGCAGCCCCAACCCCTGCTATTGTCTCCAGCCACCAATCTTGCAAGAAAGCCTTGCCTAAGCAGGTTCTATTAGTTCTGCATCAGGGCCTCTACTGTAGACAGCCTTCACCGATGGCCCTGGATTGCCCTGCAAGCACTGGCTGCCCTCCACTCAGGTACTGCATCAAGGCACACTAGCTGTAGGGCCACAGTCAATGGGGGTGACTCCTGGATCTGCCTATGCTGTATGACCTCAGGCATTGGGCTTCAACTTTTGGCTACTCATTGCAGAATGGTCCCAGCAGTGAGTAGCCTGGGGCTCAGAGAGCAATGTAGCCAGGGCACTTGTGTAAGTCACTGTCTGTCCTCCTGAACTGGGACATTCTGGGAGTAAGCTCCCCTTTGTCACCTTATTATGGTAGGAACCCAGGTCTCATCTTGCCCCCAAGGATCCTCCCCTCCCCACAGGGCAATGCCAAGGTGGGGGTTCATCAGAAATAGAATAAGCCTAGGATTTTCCTTATTGGAAAAGAGACCTGGTGGGAACCCCCTCAAATTTTTACTAAGGTGAAGTGGAAAAAGTGGACTTGGAGCCTTGACTGTAGATCATTGCTACCCATAAACCAGCATGCTGTGATTTCTCCATCTTAAACTTCTCTGTCCTCCCATGAAGACAGTCAAACTCCTGACAATAGGTCTCCTCAGGGCCAGAACCATCTCTTTCTTCCCAAGCTTGTCAGGGAGATTCCCTGGTTGCTCTAGGCACAACTATGGGGCCCTGCCCCTGGCCCACAACAATCCTTCTCTCGTGTCTGACAAAGACTTCTCTCACACTAGGTACTCCAGAATCTTGCCTGGCTCATCTAGACAATGAAATGGCCTAAAGGCTTCCTACAGGGCCACAGGGATGCCTCTGTATCTTACAGGCAACTGTCCAAACAGAATTCCTGAAACACCACAATCCCCATCCTTTCCCCAGGTGGCATCCGTGACACGTGTGTGTGTGTGTGTCTTTCACATACACACACCAGTCACCCGTTTCCCTCCCTCTCCAGCCTCCCTTCGATTATCTGTCCAGCCCCCATAACTCCTTGCTCACCTCAGAGACCCTCAGCCCACCACACACACAGGGCTCCCACTTCCTCTCCTGCAGAACCTATGCTAGGTGTCCCTAGACTTCCCCCTACCCCCTCCGAAGGAAACTGCAACCCCCACTCAGTAGATCTCTCCAGCATTGGGCTTGTATCTATAGCTGTGTCTTCTCCTCCAAGGCTATCTGTCCCCGTGGCTGTATATGCCTATAGTAGATGCACAACTTTACTGGTTGGGTGAGCACTCTGATCCTTTCTCTCTGGTCCCCACTAGTGGAAGTCTGGCCAGGCCAACGGCCTCCCTCCCTAAGTCTGCTCCCTACAGGATCACTGGTATCCCCAGCACTCTAGGTGGGGACCATCGCCAGCCCCATTTTAAAGCAGCCACAACAGGCCCAACAAGGCTAAGGGGCTTGGTCAAACCACTGGGGAGAACTGGGACCAGGAATGTCGCCTGGGAGCTCTCCCAGAAAAAGAAGTGAGAGCTGAGTGGTCCCCCAGTCAGGCCCCCAGCAACCCAGCCTAGATGCCCCCCATCCTGCGCAGGTCTATGACGCTACGGGGTACAGAGGGGCAGGCCTTGGCCTGCCCACTGTTCCCTGGGGAGGTCGGAGCAGTTCCAAAGAGGCTCGCCCTCCCCCCTCTAGGCGCGTCCCGCCCGCAGCCGCTGCTACATTCCTGGGGCCGGGGAGGCCATAGAGGCGGCGCGGCGACGATGCGAAGCAGATGGCTGGCCAAGCGGGCCCCCGCCCTGGGGGCGGGACTCAAGTCTGGGAGGGGTCTGAGCGCCTCGGGATCGTAGCTCTGAAACCCCGAGCGCCCCCTTGCCGCCCCCCTGTCTGTAGAGACCCAAGAGCCCTGGAAGCAGCCTCCGCGGGTCCCGCCGCCCAAGTCGCCACGACAAGACCCAGGTCGTCTCTCCGGCTCCCTGTCCGCGCGGCACTCTCCACACTAGCCCCTGGCCTCCGCGCGAGATGCCCTTGACCTCTCCATGGACAAGGCCCCATGATCCCTGCGCTCACTCCAGGCGTCCTAACCTGGGCTCCAAGCTTTCTTTCTGCACAGGCTCTAGCTGGGATGGCTGTCCCACACCAGTTTCCCCGGCGCAGTTCCTCAGCACACCTAGAGGCCCTACCCAAAGTCGCCGGGGCCCCAATCTTCCAGTCTAGGGTGTCCGTTACTACCCACTCCTGCTTCTGGTCCTCCCTGCACGTCGGTTCCCGTATCCACCCTCCTCCGACCCTCGTCTGCTCTCTCTCAAGACCCAAAACTGTACCTCTAAACCTCGTCTACCCCCAAAATCTCCCTGGCTGCCACCTCTCAGGGCGCAACTAGTCCCCCCTCCAGACCCCACCTCTAGCTCCAGCCGCACTCGCCTCGTATACCTGAGTCCATGCTGTTCCTGCCTAGGCTCATCCCCACAGTCAGCCTTGACCACCCGGTTCGGGAAACCCCTGTATCCCGACCTTTCCTAAAATCAATCTGCACCACCCTCCGGGTGTTCTCTCGTCCTGAGCAGCCTCTGAAGCGCCGTCGTGGCCAGACGCCCAGGCTCGGCCTGGAGCAGCGCTGGCGTCGTAAGGGCGGCTCATGTGCCTGCGAATCGGCGCCTGCGGCCTCAGGAGTCCCCCTGCCCCAACGCCGACGACCCCCGTCCCAAGCGACCCCTGGTCCCCTCCCCGAGCTGGGCCGAGATCCTACCCAGGCGCCCTGCACACGTTGCGGCCGCGCGGGTTCAGCTCCTGTGGCGCCGCGGGGCTCGGCAGCAGCCCAAGCAGCAGCAGCAGCGGCGGCAACGGCGGACCATCG